CATGTACCTTGGCAGTTCCAATCCATCTTTCTCAACTAGAAATAAGAATTATCCACTCAAGATCTGAAACACCTGAGTTGACTTGATCTCAACTCAGTTATTTCAAAGCAGTTGCATCTTATAAAGGGAAAAGGGGGCCTTTGAAAATTGGGAGTCATGGAAGGAACACATTTGGGGTAGGCTGGAGACAAGGGTTATAAATAAAGAGAAAGTGCCTTATTGGAATTTTTTTTTTGAGACAGAGTCTTGCTTGGTTGCCAGGTGTCAGGCTGGAGTGCAGTGGCACGAGCTTGGCTCACTGCAACCTCCACCTCCTGGGTTCCAGCAATGCTCCTGCCTCAACCTCCCAAGTAGCTGGGACTACAGGCATGCGCCAGCACGCCCAGCTAATTTTTGTATTTTTCAGTAGAGATGGGGTTTCACCGTGTTGGCCAGGATGGTCTCGAACTCTTGACCTCATGATCTGCCCGCCTCGGCCTCCCAAAGTGCTGGGATTACAGGCATGAGCCACTGCGCCTGGCCTCTGTTGGAAATTTTAAACCCCGTTGATGGGATCTCAATGTAATGTTTGAAGGGGGATTAAAAGGGATTTGCAAAAATTAACCATCCAGTCACAAGGCTTTGTGTGCTGACGCAGTGTGTCATGTGATGATAGAAGTAAATCCTGGCACTTACCACACACTAAATAAATAGTGGTCATCGTTAAGGTTATTACTTAACAATAGGCCAAATAGGCTCAAGGGATTGACTAAAGTCCTCCTTTCCTCAGAATTGGAATTCAGATCTGATTCCATCATAGCACTTTGAATCTTGTTAATACCAATAGATAGGTGAGATTTGTCGACCACTGACAGGATGTTCTGTCTCCTGTTTTTTCACCTCTTTCCATGCCTTTTTTCTAGTAATAATTGATAATAGAATGTTTAGAGTGGTCTTTGGCCTGTCTCCAGGAGTATTCAAGCTAAGTCTTGGAGCAGAAGGTGAGGTGGCTCAAGGAATCCTCAACTTTCTTCACTTCCGCAATATATTGAAGCTAATAAACCAAGAAATTAGTTTGTCCTCAGGGTTGTCTGCTCCAGGGCCATCTGTAGCCCAGCAGCAACTCTTTGCACTCAACATTTATTGCTTTAGAAGGAACAAGAGTCAGAAGGGAATTCTGAGGCATTCAGCATTCTAAGGTCCTTCTTTGCAGGGTCTTGATGTTTTCATTAGTGGCTAACACACACACACTGAACAGGGCTTGGAAATAGTGAACAGAGAAGGGTAATGAATCCTCAAGTGAAGGGTGATATGGCCAGGGGACAAGGAGAGGTAGGAGAAAGCAAGAGACCTCTACCTTTTCTCCAACTGGATTAGTCAGACTAGGCTAGGATTTGCTGCAATAACAAGCTAATACCCAACTCACAGTAGCTTAATAACCACAAAGGCATGTTTGTTGCTATGCCATCTAGAATATATGTAGTATCAAAGGACTACTGAGCAGGGGAAGAGAAAGCATCAAAGTGGTTTATCTTCCCCTGCTCGGGAGTCCTTTGATACTACATACATTCTACATTTAACTTGGATCTTAAATATATCACTTGGAAATGACTCATGCTTCCACTTGCGTAGCCTTGATGAGAGCTAGTCACATGATAACAGCTCAACTGCAAGTTGACTGGAACTCTTTCCTATGCCCAAGAAGGAGAGATGGACCAGACACTGGTAAACAGGAGACATCTCTACAACCATATATGTAAATAGGACCTTTGTGTTTTGCTGAGTTCCATGATCCATCCCATTATCTTCTGCCCTACCAACTAGAAAAATCTCTCCCCATTCCTGCCCTTATCCAGCTGTCCCTCTGTTCCTACCCCAGGTAGCTGAGCATTACTGCTAAGCAGAGCATGGGTTGAGGCCCAGAGGGTAGAGTGGCGAGGCACCTCCTCTAGGCTTTCAAACCAACTAAGGCTTTAACTGTTTTCCATTTGATCCTCAACACAATTTTGTGAGAGACAATTATTACCTCTGCTTTGTAACTGGAGAAACTCAAATTTAGAATTGTATGTAGTTTTCCAAATGACACAGCTAGCCAGTGAGAAATACTGAATCAGAGTTTCATGTATTCATTTACGTTTCAGTAAGCGTGTATCAAGTACAACTTAGTATTGATATGTAATCCCACATTCCGTAGTGGTTAAAAACACCATCTTTAGATTTGGATGGTCTTCGATTCTAGGTAGGAAAAGGTACCAAACTACTCTTTGTCTCAGTTTCCCCATCTATAAACCAATGACAGTAACACCCCTTACTTCACAGGGCTAATAAAAGAATTTCATGAGCTAATGTATCAAAAGTACTTAATCTAATATCTGGCTTATAAAAAGCACTCAACAAGTAGTAGCTCATGGAAGAGCCAACCAATAAATGTAAGTCCAATAAGGGCTGTGGTCAAGGCAAAATCAGGATGTAATTGGAGGGCAACAAGGGAGACATAAATCAACTTATGGTATGTTTTTTCAGAATGTGTGGTCACTAAGATAAGGTTTGAAAGAAGAGTGACAATTATCATGTTGAACAAGGTTGGAAAGTAAGTCAAGAAAATCTTCAAGCCAAGGGAGTAGGTACACAAATCACTGAAGGCAAGAGAGCATGCCACTGAATTTAAATGGGACGAGGCAAAGGAATGATGGCTAGCAGGCCATAGGAGCAATCAGGGGCCACCCAGGATTCTGTGTAGTCCCATTGTGTTTGTGTGTGTGTGTGTGTGTGTGTGTGTGTGTGTGTGTGTGTACACATATGAAAGCATTGTCCTTAGATGGGGGAGCCCCTGGGTACTTATGCAGAGTGCCTTTCTTAGGAAGGACACCCTAGTTATAGTTTAGACAATGAATCAGAGAAGGGGGACTCAGGCAGGAAAAAGGCTCCAGAATGGGAGAACGGTTAAGAGGCTGCTGGAGGAGGCCAGGTGGGAACATGTGAGTCATCTCTTCTCTCAAGCCTTCCATTTCTTTTACTGACATGTGAGGCTGACCATCCTTATCTTGCCTACCTCAGACCACTGGGATAAAAGAATAAACAAACTAAAAAATAGCTACGTAGAACAGGAGTTAGCAAACTCTTCTGTAAAAGGACAGATAGTACATATTTTCAGCTTTGCAGGCCTTATGGTCTCTGTCACAACTACTAAAGTCTGTCATTGTAGCTCAAAAGCAACCATACATATAAGGATATGTATACGAATGAGTGCAGCTGTGTTCCAATAAAACTTTGTTTACGGACACTGAAATTTGCATTTTATGTAATTTCCATGTGTCACAAAATATTACTCCTCTTTTGTTGTTTTCCCAACCATTAAAAATGTACAAAGCATTTACAGCTCATGGCTGCACAGGAAACAGGGAGTGGGGGGCCAGATTTGGCCTACAAGTCATAGTTTGCTGACCCCTGACTTAGACTGTGCTTTTAAAATAGCAAAACTTTTCGTTTTTTTAAGGGAAAAGTATTATGATTACTATTTACTGGTGGTTAAATTTTATAGTAGTTCATGGCTGCTGATCAAGTTTGCCATCTGTGCTATTTTTGAAATTACGTCTTTTCTGTTTATCAGTTGGTCTGGCATCCTCTACCCTCTCTATTTTGCATAAGAACGTCCTGCAGTTTTGTTGATGGACCACTGGAGAAAGCTGCAGTCTCTGGCCAAGCCTAAAACACCTTTCAACCTTTTTTATGATTTTCTTTAGAGAGGTGAGGAGTGGATTTGAAAGCACAGGAATATTAAAGCCAGACAAACCAGGGTTTGAATACAGCCTCTTCCGGTTAGTGACCTTGAGCAGTCTTACAAGTTCTATGAGTCACCATTTCTTCATTCATTCATTCATTGATTCAGCAAATATTCACTGGGTACCTACTATGTGCAAGGCCACGTGAGTACACTAGTAAATGAGACACCGTGTCTGCTTTCAAGGAGACTGCAGACTTAAAGAGAAGACATCCACTTCTAATACAGTGATGTTAGTGCAATAAGAAGGGAAGATGAGGGTGTTATGGGAAGACAAGGAAGGGCATTTGTCCCAGATTCACTGACATACTAAAGACTCCCTAGAGGTGAGGGGTTCTAAACTGACACCTGATGGATGAGCAGTTGTCAGCCAGGTGAAAGAGCAGGAAGGACAATAGCCCATGCAAAGTGACTCACCTTGGGAAGGCTTACAGACAAAAAGGTGGGGGGCTGTTGATAATGGAAAGCTGTTTATCATGCTTGGGATAGGGTGGGTGGTGGTAGTGGAGAGAGGCAAGACCAGAGGGGTGGGCAGGAGACTCATCATGGAGGGCCTGTGAGCTGGGTGAGGCGGTTTGAAGTTTATGGGGAAAATGAGGCAGCACTGATGTATTTCAGCTGAAGGATGGAGAGTAAGACTGAAGGAATACAAGACTGGAGGTAGAGAGACTGGATGGGAGGCTACTTAAATAATGTATGTGAAGCACGAGTGGCTTGAACAAAGTGAGAATGAAATTAAAGAGAAGGAAGCAGCTTCAAGAGTTTTCCTGGGGTAGAATTAGTAAAGCATGGTGATTGATTATAGGAGGGACATCAGAAAAAAAAGGAGGGCTCCCATGTGTCTAGACTGAGAAACTACATGGATGGTGGCACCATTTATGCAGAAAGGGAAGTCTAAGGGAGAAGAAGTTTTGGTGGAAAAATGGCAGATTTATTTATAATCACACTGACCTTTCTGGGTTGTTCTAAGTCTTAGAAACATTATATGTGAGGCACTCAGAAAAGTGCCTGGCATGTCGTGGGTGCTTGATAAATGGTGCCTCTTACTCTTGTTTCGTTTTTTAAGAAATCTATTTCAGGCCCTGTTTTGTTAAATCATGATGTTCTTTTGCTATTTGGTGTGAGCTCTTCAGAGCCACAAGAATTGAAGTTTTGTTCACCATGCCGCACGTTTTCATGTGTGTTTCTTTCTCTCCTTCTTTTCTGCATGCTGCCTGGGGACTGGCTTCCTTGTGGTCAGCACCAATGGGCAGCGCCCAGGTGACCCCGGGGACTCCACTCTGCCTCCTCACCACAGGTGATCACCAGAGCCCTGGGCGGGTGGGAGGGGAGAGTTGCCCACACTCAGCGAGTCCTCCAAGCCAGGTGCACCAGAGAGGAACCAGCAGTCCCTCCAGTCCACCCACCCATCTCTCCACCCATTCACCCATCAACCCACACATTCATTCATCTGCCCATCCCATCCTTCTATCCATATACTCATCTATCCACTCACCTATTCATTCATTCTACTAATGCTTACTAAGTACATACTGGGTTCCAGGCACTGTTCTAGGCACTGAGATGTACAATGATGAGCAAAAGAAGATATGTTTCAGTGCCTTTCCAGGAGAAGAAATAGCCATTGGTCAACAAACGACACAAAAAATTTGCCACTTTGAGTAGTGTTACAAAGGAAAGGTACAGGGTATTCAAAATGAACAAACCCATGTGCAACCAAGGGAGTGCTTCACAGGGGAAGTGACAGCTGAGCTGTGATCTAAAGTTGGGAAAGAGTTGATGTAACAATCCTGTGCTTGGGAAGTGAGAAGCTCTCATGATGATCTCAGGTCTACCATTTGTCCTGACAATTTACCCATACCATGATCAGCCCCACTTTTCCTATCCATTAAATAGGAATAATCCCACCTACCCCTTATGGGGCACCATTTACATTGTAGACTGTACACATGCAGTGGCATCTGAGACTAAACATGATAATAAATGCCAGAGGAGCTGCTATGGGTATGCCCAGCCTAGAGTCTGTATTTGTTTGAAATAAATACCAGCCCCTTTCCTCAAGTACACAATATGTAGAGCTCATTTCACATAAATATGTGCCATTCTTCAAAAGACACAGAGCCCACCTGTGCTGATACCCATTGTGGTACTCAAAAGACAATCTGCTCACCTAGAGACCTCTTTACGGCAGGGCCCCTTTTTGGTCAATGGGAAGTTTCTTGGAGATGTTGAACCTTTAACTGTCACCTCTTTCAAAGTCCTTGCCCAGACAATGGCCTCTGGTCTACTAATCCCTGACCAGTCAGTTTATCATGGTGGAAAAGGAGGTGCAGCAGGAAGTGATGACATCGGTCTGGACATCCAGTACCTTCACAGTTCACTCCTGTCCACCCCCTTTCCAAACTCAGAGACATCACTGCTAGTGAATGTCTTAGGTTGAGTTCCCTGGACACTCAGCCTGAGATGGGGATCCTGGTGCAAATTAGTCATTGCAGAATATTCTCAGAAGAAAGAAAGGGAGGAAGATGAGATAGGGCAGAGAACAAAGCTAAAGGGGAATGTGGAGACCTGCATCTGCCTGAGCCCCTGGGGTAAAGGGGAGGTCTGGAGTAGGAAATGTACTAAAGAGTTGATCCCACCTTGAGGCAAGGAGGCCAGTATTTGTACCATAGTATTTATTGGTCAGCTACTGGCTGTGGGCTGCCATGGGAATGCATGGCCTCCTGGAAAAGTGGTTCCCTTTTGCCTAATGGTACTTCTCTAGGAAGGGAGGTATTTATGAGCCCTATGCTGCCAGCACTCACAGCAGCTGGAGAGTGGGCACACCAGCCCAGTAAAGGAGACTGGGGCTGAGCCTAAACAGCCTCCACTATGGGCCAGTTTTGTCTCTGCCTTTGTACTGCCATGGACACCCATACTCCAGTGTATCACTGCCAACACCACAGGAATTTCATCTCAGCCAGTCCCTGTTAGATCACCTTAAGGAAGCTGCATAGCCTTATTTCACCAGCAAAACTATCATACGTACTTCATACCATCATATTAGAAATTCAATTAGAAATGCTTTGGGAGGCCGAGGTGGGTGGATCCCCTGAAGTCAGGAGTTTGAGACCAGCCTGATCAACATGAAACCCTGTCTCTACTAAATGCAAAAAATTAGCTGGGCGTGGTTGTGCATGCCTGTAGTCCTAGCTACCTGAGAGGCCAAGGCAGGAGAATTGCTTGAACCCGGGAGGTGGAGGTTGCAGTGAGCCGAGATTGAGCCATTGCACTCCAGCCTAGGCAACAAGAGCTAAACTCTGTCAAAAAAAAAAAAAAAAAAAAGAAAAGACAGAAATGCTAGGAGTGTTGTGTGCATTCATAGCACATAGTAGGTCTTTACCAAATATCAGTCCCCAGCCCGACCTTATCTGAGGCCCTTCCCAAAGGGAGGTGGGAGTTGCAGATGGACACATGGGAGTGTGCAGAGGGACAGAGGGAGAAAAGTGACTCTTGCCACTGTGCATGCCCCCAGCTTACAGAGAAACAGTGCTTCTCCAGAGTGTGTGCAAGCTGCTGTTTCTGCTGGGCCATTGTTCTCTGGGTTCTATTCAAGTCGAGCAGTCAGATAATATTTTCTTTAAACAGAGCCAATCCCATATCAGGTGCTTTTGTTCTTACCTCTTGTCTTCCAAGGCATCTGAACGTTTCTCCTCTGACAGGTTTATTTCCTTGTGATCCATTTATTTCCACACGTTTCTCAGCCTCATTTCATGGGTGAGGTGCCTGTGAGTGCTATCCCTTTCAAAGGGTGTTTTTGTTAATGTTCGTCCCCTGGTAGCAATAATGGCTGATGTAAATAATAACTGCCTGGGTCTGAATGATGGCGATATTAGGCTTTAAGCACAGGCAGCCTCTTTTCATAACAACACCAACTCACAGAGCTGTGGGACCACATTATGTAGCAGGGACAGGCTGGCATTCGGAGGGAGTGGAGGCTGAGTTCAGCTCTCAGCAATGCCACCTTCTGGGCTGGTGATCCTGGATAAGTTGTTTCTCTTTTCCAGACTTTATTCTCTCTATTTGGAGAAATGAAAATATTAATAACCACAATCATAGTTAATCATGAGAACTAAGTGCAATAACAGCTTTCACTTCTTTGCCCATCTAGCTCCAAGTAGCTCTTCAGGTCTTCTGGACTCCTTGGCCTATTCTTCAAGGAATTCATGCCCTATGGCAAGATTGCTCAACTGCTGCACCATTGATGTCTGGGTTCAGATAGTTCTTTCTTGTGGGGCATAGGGGGAGGGGGTGCTGTCCTGTGCACTGTAGGATGTTTAACAGCCTCTCCCCACTAGATGCCAGCAGCATGTCAACCCCAGTTTAACAGCCAAATACATCTCCAGACATTCCCAAATGTCCCATAGAGACAAAATCATCCTATGTTATAAACCTCCAGAGTCATACTGTTGAATAGAAATAGAATTTGAATGTTGTAATTTTAAATTTCTTAGAGTCACATGAGAAAAGCAAAAAGAAACAGGTGAAATTAATTTTAATAATATAATGTATCTAACTCAATGCAGATGCTTCTCAACTTCTGATGGGGTTATGTCCCAATAAACCCATCATAAGTTGAAAATGTTGTAAGTCAAAAATGCATTTAATGCAATTAACCTATGGACCATCATAGCTTAACCTAGTCTACCTTAAATGTGCCGTGCTCAAAACACTTACATTAGCCTACAGTTGGGCAACATCATCAAACACAAAACCTGTTTTATATTACAGTGCTGAATATCTCATGTAATTTACAGAAGACTTTCACTGAAAGTGAAAAGCAGAATGTTTGCATGGGTACTCAAATTGCACTTTTTACTGAATAGGTATCACTTTCTTAGCAGCATTGTAAAGTCAAAAAATCTGAAGCCCAGCTGTCTTAAGTTCACAATCATCTGGTATATCCAAAATAATATTATTTTAATAAGCAACAAAATTAAACAACTGATGAAAGATATTTTATATTCTCTTTTTGTACTAAGTCTTTAACATGTGGTCTGTGTTTTACACATAGAACACTTTGATAAAATACATTTTAAAATTCAGTTCCTCAGTTACACCAGCCACTTTTCAAGTGCTTTAAGTATGTGGCTTGGTGACTGCCATTGTGGGCAGTGCAGATCTAGAGATAAAACATCTAGGGTCATCTTTGTCCCTAGTTGGTGAATAGAAATGCGTGTGTAGAGAAGAGGCTCAGTAAATATTCAGTTCCTTTTATTTCTTGTTGCTCCCTAGGGGACATCTGGCAACATCTGGAGGAGATGTATTTGGTTGTCACAGCTGGGTGCAAGGGGCTGCAGTCACCTAGTGAGTAGAAGTCAGGTAGGCTTCCATTGAGAGAAATAAGGTAAAAACCTCTTCTGGCCAGGATTGGGAATTTTTCTGCAGTGAGTTGAATGGAAGCCACAGTAGACACGCGACTAGTTAATTAACATTAAGAGGATTCAGTCTCACTCAGGCCCACCAGTGCAGAAAGTAGGCCTCTTCTCATATCCCTCCTGTAGTTCAGACAGGCCTCAAGGGGGTGGCCTGGACCTCTGAACCCAAGAGGAGACTGACAGTGTCCAGTCTGGAGGCCAGAGTAGCTGTACTAAAGGTCATCCCCAGGGGCAGATCTGATTTATTTGTCTTGGACATGACCAGTGCCCATTGTCAGTTTTCTACAGAGAGAAGGGCTATGGGACAAACCCTCATCTGGAGTCCAAACTGCGTTTCTTAAAACTGAGGGACCTTGAGCGAATCACTCAGCCTTTCCGAACCTCACCTTCTTCATTTATGAAATAGTAAACTTGAGTCTCTGTACAGCCAGGCCCAGTCATGGTGAGGGCCAACAGAAGAAATGGATGCACTCTTTTTTTTTTTTGAGATGGAGTTTCACTTTTGTTACCCAGGCTGCAGCGCAATAGCATGATCTGGGCTCACCGCAACCTCTGCCTCCTGGGTTCAAGCAATTCTCCTGCCTCAGCCTCCCGAGTAGCTGGGACTACTGGCACGTGCCACCGCGCCCAGGTAATTTTTGTATTTTTAGTAGAGACGGGGTTTCACCATGTTGACCAGGATGGTCTCAATCTCTTGACCTCGTGATCCACCCACCTCAGCCTCCCAAAGTGCTGGGATTATAGGCGTGAGCCACTGCGCCCAGCCATGGACGCACTCTTAACCCAGCTCCAGGTTTGAGGAAATACTGAACACAATTTCCCTTATTATTCCTTTATTTCCTGTGTACCTCATGTTAAAACTCTCTCTTATTATTTCCCT